AGGACACCTGATTTGAGAAATAGTGACCTCTGTGTATCTCTTTTCTCACAACTTAAATAACCTGAAGTAAAAATTTGCCTTAATTATGGGATTTATAATCATCATTCTCAGCAAATGAGCCTCCAACTTGAGATAATGAAGCCACGGGATCAAAATTAGACCAGGCCCTTTTCTATAAAGCAGTTACTCAAATTGTAACATGAGTCAAAATTTTGGGTTCCAAAATTCTTAAGACTTCATGACTTCATTCAGGAATCCTAAAAACAACTGTGGTCATCATCTATTAAAAATGCAACTTTCAGTGTTCCACAGACAGACAGATAAAAGTCCTTTGGGCTGATTTATTTTCATTAGTGCCTTGCCAGTAAATATGTAAACAATTTTAAACCAGGGCAATGCACATGCTGAGCATAACAAAACCCATCTTAATTGCTGCTCTACCAAGGAAAAGAACTCTGAGTACCTTGTCAAATAAATAAATGATCTATGTCTTTTCTTGTCACTTCTCTTTTCGTCAGTAAGTTTAATAAATAAAATTGATGGTTTTGGAAAGAGTTTTAGGTCAGTTCTTCCAATTGTAACATTGCTTGACTTAAATATCAGTTACCACAGCATTCCAAACTTTGAAGCTAAAGCTGTTTCCTGCATTTATTTTGACACATATCATAAAGCAGCATCAATAACGCTCAGCCCATCAGCCCTGCTGGAGTTTTTCCTGATACATGCCTGCTTTTAGTTTATACTTTTCTTCACTTCACTCCTTCCTCCTGCCAATCCCCACTTTGTCCCAGAGCATGACTCATTAAGCTCATGGTAGAATACTTTGTTGTTGTTTTAAATCATTTGATGTCTGCAACATAATCTAAAAGGAAATTCATTTTATTTCACCTAAAAATTTGAATTAGAATCATGAATAACTGAAAAGGTTTAGCAATGAGCAAACACACTAATATATGCATTTTTTTTTTCTTTTTTGGCCGCACCACACTAGAGGCATGTGGAACTCCCTGGCCAGGGATCGAACCTAAGCCAGGGTCTTAACCCCTGGACCACAAGGGAAGTCCCAAACCAAACATGCCTAATATAGAAGAGGAAAAGTTAGAATAAACTCCAATAGTTACAGGAATAGAAAAATCATAGTCTGTAAAGATATATGTAGGTACGTACTAAGTCAATTCAGTTGTGTCTGAGTCTTCACAATCCTATGAACTGTAGCGTGCCAGGCTCCTCTGTCCATGGGATTCTCCAGGCAAGAATACTGGAGTGGGTTGCCCTGCCCTCCTGCAGGGGATCTTCCCCACCCAGGGATCGAACCCACGTCACTTGTGGCTCCTGCACTGCAGGCAGATTCTATACCACTGAGCCACCAGGGAAGCCCCATAAAGATATATACTAGTGATTTAATGGTGAATTCATCGAGACGTAAAACAAAAGCAAAAAGTAAAACAAAAACAAAACAAAAACCTTAATTCTCACCTGCTCCCAAAATAAAATATTCCTCAAATTAGACACTCTTCTCCTATCACACATCAATCAATGCCTACTTTTGTAACTATCAGAATAACTGAGTAAGATTCCAACCACAGATCTATACATGGAAACATGGCTGGCTTTTACCCTCAAGAGCTACAGAAGTAATGATTCTAGAATTTGGAAACTGCTAAGAGAGGAACACAGTAAAGATAGGCACAAGTTGCAATAACCTATTAGTATCAGTGACAAGAGAGAAGGAAAAGATACCCCAAGGGAAAGAAAATTCAAAGACAACGGAAAAACTGTGGGGAATTCAGTTTCTATCTGGCTCTTTGTGAATTGCTTTCATCTTTAGATTAAGCCCCTTGTTGTGTCTGTTTGTATTTTGTTTCTGAAATGACTGATAACATAAAGTCACTTAAATAATATCACTTAAAACATACTGAAAGAGGAGGAAAATATAGAGTAGTTTTGTGCCCTGGAGAAGGTGACTAGAAGGGTCAGTGAACACATCTGTGTAAAGTGACTGGAAGACCAGTGACTAATTTTACATTCTGTTTCCAAAGTTTTGTCTCTCACCCAGAATTAGTTCAGAGATAAATCAATCTATTAGCATTCAAATAATTGAGTAATATTCCATGGTGTATATGTACGACAGAAGACTGGAAGCTGTGTTTTTTTTTTTTTAATTAGAATTTATAGCATTACTTTCCTGATTTGATCACATCCCAACCCACCCCACCCCATCCCATCCCAATCCCAAGGAATTCCTGTGACTTGCCAGAAGTAAACTGCATTTCTTTCCTTCTTTCTAACAGGTGCATATTTCCTAGCCACTCCCATAAAATGTTAGAGGTAGGCAAAATGACTTTGATAAAGTTTATACCAAAACAATGAAATTTTACAGCATTCCTTTGAAATACATTGTCAAAATACGTTTTAGATTTTAGACATTCAGATTATTACAATTCAAATACTTGCAAGGGGATAAATACAGTCTTTTCCACTGAAAAATCCTTAAGTAAAGTTAAGTAGAGTCGCTCAGTCATGTCCGACTCTTTGCGACCCCATGGACTGTAACCTACCAGGCTTCTCCCATGGGATTTTCCAGGCAAGAGTACTGGAGTGGGTTGCCATTTCCTTCTGCAGAAGATCTTCCCCACCCAGGGATCGAACCCAGGTCTCCTGCATTGTAGGCAGACGCTTTACCATCTGAGCCACCAGGGAAGTCTTTGAAAAATCCTTAATCCAAAGCAATTATTCATTTTCCCTCAACCTTTTTTTTCCAAATAATTGAATTACCCTAGAAGCAATAATGATAATTTTTAGCTCTTATGTATTAGGCATAGTGCTATGTGCTTTACATGCATTATCTTTTTTAAACTCCATGACAAGTTCAAGAGACAGGAACTTTTATCATTCCCATTTTACAGATAAGGAAACTGAGGCTTGGCGAGATCGCTAATTTGCATAAGTTCAGACAGCTTTATCCACAAGAAAGCTAAACCAGGATGTAAATTCTGCTCTGTCATACCCCACTGCCCATACCCTTATACTGAAGAATTTTACAAAAGTAATAGGTATTACCACCTGCCCATAAAAGAAGAGTATAAGCATTCTAAACTGAATGTATAAATGCTAAGCTAAGGTTAATGCACAGGAAAATGTAATAAATAGGTGAATACACTTTAGGTGACTATAAGATCCGAGAAATGCTTCAATAATTTGATACCCACACCCGTCCTTATTGGCTAAAATACCTTTTTTTAAAAAAAGCAAATGAGATTTCAAACACGCTGCTATCCCACTGACTATTTCAGGGTGTCCATCTTATTTTCCCTATACAGATAGAGCTGTAGCGATAAAGGGATAAAGCAGGTGGACAACAAGGATCTGGGCATCCAACCTATTTGTGTGCGTGTGTGCTAAGTCGCTCCAGTCGTGTCCAACAGTTAGTGACAGTATGAACTATAGTCTGACAGGCTCCCCATCCATGGAGTTCTTCCTATAATTTCAGTTTTAAGAAAAATCTACTCAAATCTGGGCATCAGATAAGTGTTTTAACACATTTGGTTTTAGGGAGCGAAAACTAACTCCAAAGCCAGGGCCACACAAGGAAAGCACTTGTCTAAGCTAAGATGGGATAACCATTGCACTGGTGAAATTCAAAACGTACGAAAGGGTCTCCTTCTTGAAACATTTTCTGCCCTTGCCTGGATATTGTCATTACAGTTCATCACACTGACCAAAATATCCACTAAATACTGACTTCAGAAATTCAAATGACACTAAAAGCTGTTTGCTCTTTAGTATAAATTAGCTTGATTTGATTTCTTTCCTTTTCAACAGAAATAGGAGCTTCTAGCTATTCTCAACCCCGGCAGCATGCTTCGAATCATCCACGAATATCTGAAAATAATGCAAATGCCTGGGCCCCACCCCCAGAGATTGTGTGGTTCTGGGTAAACTAGGACCTAGGCAGCAGCACATTTTACAAGCACCCCAGCTGGCCCTGGTATGTGCCAGGCTTGAGAATCACTGGTTCAGACACTCTCTGCCTCCTGTACAAAGAAGTAATAACATTTGCTGACCATGTCCGTATTTTCTGTGGTTTCCATCCCGGAAAGATTAAACTCTCTCACAGTAGGCTACATTAAGGGAGAGAGAAACCGTCACAAAATCTACTCTGAAATAAGAAACGAAAGTTGTGTGGAAAGAAGGTTAAAGGGGGGAAAGTCTGTTTTTGGTGATTTAAAAAGAAAAAAAAAAACATGCTATCTGATTTCTTTGGGATACAGGAGACATGATCCCATTTTCTTAAGTAATCCTTTAAATATGATTCACTTTGAACTACATACATCTTAACTGCCTCTGTGTCTTTATCAAGTTTACCACAGCTGCCATATGATAAGAGTCAAACCTTAACCGGCAGACTCCAGTCATTCTGAGACCACTAGAATTTTGACTACAAAGCAGGTTCAACAACCAACAAATTCAATTGCTATTTCTTTTCATGACATTTTATCAATTGTACAGATCTGCAATATGTGAGTCAACCTGGATGAAATACCTATATTTCAGGAATCTAGGTCAGAACATTATTATTACTGTAAGAGGTTAAAAACAGACATCCAAAGTCACCTAAGGTTCTTGCAGGAAAATTTCACATATAAAATAACTCTTTCCATTAAAATGTGAAACTTAGAAGAATTAACAATTAACACTCTCTGCTACTAACTTTCTGGTAAGCTGTTAGTAGCCACTTAATCGTAAGTTTTATGAGGGCAGAAACAGTTTCTCACAGGTTTCTGCATTCTCCAAACTTAGCACAATACCAAGCATAGAGTAGGTACAAAGTAAATGAGTAATATTCATTGACTAAATGAATGTGTGCCTTCTAACTCGCTTCAGTGGCATCCGACTCTTTGTGACCCTATGGACTGTAGCTTACCAGGCTCCTCTGTCCTTGGAATTCTCCAGGCAAGAATACTTCAGTGGGTTGCCATGCTCTCCTCCAGGTGATCTTCCTGAACCAGGGGTAGAACTCGTATCTCTTACATCTCCTGCATTGGAAGCAGGTTCTTTATCATTAGTGACTGCTGGGAAGCACTGTAAGATATATGATAGTATTGGAACTCACAGAAAACACAGGCTAATGATTATAAGTAAAATGCACTCTTGGGATTTTTCCCTCTACCACAAAAGCTACCATTGCCTTTATGAAATCAGTAACCATTTATTTAATCTTGTTTTTTTTTTGCCACTTTTTCCTATGAGTTAATGGAAAAACTGCTGAAGAGAAGCTTTCAGTGAATGTCAGATAAAATTCCCCCAGAATCAAGTAAGAATATGTGGAGACCAGACACAATCTGCATTCATCCACCTATTCTTGGACTGTAAGCTTACATTCCACTCCTATCTCTAACACAGAAATGAAGTTGAAAACAACATGAAAAAGAGTATACTCTTCAACTTGGCCTCATAAGTGATGTTAAATGCCAGCATTCTTGGTGCTGAAATCAATCTTTGTCTAATGAGCCAGAGAACAAACCAACTGAGGCATTTTTCAGGTTCTTTTGGAATGAAGTTACTCATCACATGCTTATATTCATTAGACTTAGGCAAGAGGAAGACCCTTGACTATTATACCACATCCACTTGCCTCTGAACCATAGTTGAGCTAGCTAGGTCTGGGTTTCTCTCTAGAGAGAATGGTGACTGGTTGATGTCAGTGACACACCAATTCATCTTATCTCATCTTTTACTTTCAGAGACCAGGAATAAGTTTCCAAGACTCCTTGTATAGTAAGTATGCATTTTCTTTGGTTTTATTTAGAGTGTTTCTGAAAGGTTACTACTATGCTTCCTCCTTCTCATCCCCCTTCCAGTGAATCTGGGATTCTTGGACAGAAAAAAAGCTATCAAAAATGTTACTGGATGAATTTTCTAGGTGCCATCCATCCCAACAGGACTGTAATTTGGAGTAATTTATTAAAATATCATTGGTACTAACACATATGCCATAAAGAACTTTATTAAGTAACTTACACACCTTTCTAAAATGACTTTACAATTATGCCATTTATTGATAAGCTTTTAATAAGTTATGCCTTTATGAAGAAATTAGCACAACTGGAAACTGGTTTACGGTCCTGCTATATTTGTGCACTGATGATAGTGTAGAGCAGAAAACAGTCCAGCAAAGAGCAGGTGTTCAACTTTCAACAGGTAGGAAGCCTTAGTAAACAGTTAGATTATTGGCTCTGAGCTCAGATCAGTTGGATAAACAAAGATCCGCCCAAGTAAGGAAGGACTGCTCTATATTTTTCCTCTGATCTTCCATTAATCAGTACCATATTCTAGAAGCTGGGTTTCCAAAGACAGACATAGTCCCATTCTTCTCCTCAGGGTCATCCCATATCTAGACTGTTGTTGAAGTAGGGAAGTCACAGTTCAGAAGAGGCTATTTTAAGAGGACATCCTGATGCAGACTATCCACTACCTATCTTATATTTAACCTACTCTATTTTTTTTTTTTTTAATCCAGGGTCGGAACAAAACCTTGCTTAAAAACGACATTTCTTTGCCTCTCTTGCATTAGAATTGAGCATGTGATACCATTTGGCCAGTGAGAAATAGAAGTTGCTATTAATGTGTCCTAAAGAGCTCCTTAAAAGGGGAGGCAGACTCAGGAGGCTTGCACGCTTGTTCATTTTGGCTCTTCCTGTCTTTCCTGCCTGCAATGGGAACACTGGGGTCTGTAGCCACGGTGGCCGCCTCCAGAACCTGAGAATGAGGATCACGCCTTCAGGCAGAGGAGACACCTGGAAGGTCCTGGGTCCCTGATGAATCTGCTGAGTCACCACCGAGCTGTCTACTGCAGGGTCTCTTCTATGTGAGAGAAAAATAAACGCCTTTCTGTTTTAAGCCTCTAGTTTGGTGGTTCCTATTGGTTCATAGCAAAATATAATTTCTGACTGAAATAAGTCCAGTTCCAAAGTTTATCAATCATAGCATAAGAGGATTTGAAATCATGTCATTTGAGAAAGGTTGAAGGAACCGGTGGTCATGTATGGATGTGAGAGTTGGACTGTGAAGAAAGCTGAGCACCGACAAATTGATGCTTTTGAACTGCGGTGTTGGAGAAAACTCTTGAGAGTCCCTTGGACTGCAAGGAGATCCAACCAGTCCATCCTAAAGGAGATAAGTCCTGGGTGTTCATTGGAAGGACTGATGTTGAAGCTGAAACTCCAATACTTTGGCCACCTGATGCAAACAGCTGACTCATTTGAAAAGACCCTGAAGCTGGGAAAGATTGAGGGCAGGAGAAGAAAGGGACAGAGGATGAGATGGTTGGATGGCATCATCGACTCGATGGACATGGGTTTGGGTGGACTCCGAGAATTGGTGATGGACAGGGAGGCCTGGCGTGCTGCAGTTCATAGGGTCGCAAAGAGTCGGACACGACTGAGTGACTGAACTGAACTGAACTGAAGGAACCGGGGATTTACATCTGGAAAGAAGGAAGTGGAAAATATAGAAAATAAGTATATTCAAAGTTGTGAGTCACTGATGTATGAAGAGCCACAGAAGTCAAATTAGAAAGGATGAGTGAGAACAAGAGGAGCAGACTTCAGCCCAAAGTAAAAGATTTTTCACATAATAAGATCATGGACGGGGTTCCATCAGTGGAAGGGTTCAAGTATTAGGATGAATGTCTATTCCATGGGAATACAGTAAGGAGAAGAAAACACTAAATGGGGTAGTTGGGAAGGGTGATATTTACTTACATTTCCACACTCAATCCAGAGAGTCTATAAATCTGTGAGTTCCTAATACCTAATCATCAATTCTCTCTAATATAACAAAATATTTTCTGAATGCCTGTGAAGGGTATTTTATTGCTTTCCTCTGTTTATTGTGTTTAATTCACCTAACGTATGCCAACTGTAGGCCTCTTTCAAGGACAACTGCCTTTTCTCCTAATTTTGGAAGTGTCTTTAACTTGTCAGAATTTGAAAAGAAATTCATTTGCAGCTAGAACGGACTAAGCAGAAGTTACAGACGTTCATTGCATCTTAACTGCACACCAAGCACTGAGCCATGCGCTTCAAATTCATGACCTATAATTTCACAACAATCCTATGAGGAAAACGGTTTCATTGCTTCCATTTTTAAAGGAGAAAAATAAGGCCCAGGGAGTTTAAATAATTTTTCAAGATCACATAACTAAGGGTGACGCCAGAATAGAACTTGGCTATCAGACTCTAGAATCCCATACTCCTGACACCTATTCTATATCTGGCTTCAAAAAGACATACGTACATCTAAGGATCATAGTAAAACCAAAAGTGAATTGCAGGGACCATAAAATCAAAGTATGAAGTCAAATACACTTTATTTTTTTAGTATTTATTTTTGTAAATTTATTTATTTTTAATTGAAGGATAACTGCTTTACAGTACTATGTTGGGATACTGAATCAGGGATAGAACTACCGAACATCAGCATGAATCAGTCACAGGTTTATCCTTGTCCCCTTCCACTTGAACACACCTCCTTGAATATTTCTTTACCTATACTTTCTTCTTTTACATTCAATGTCACTTTATCCTTGTCTCTAAATATCACCTGGTAAAAAAACAAATCTGAAATAATGCACATTAAAAAGGCATATGGCAGCTATATGACAAAGGACAATACTTAGTCTCTGGATAAATTGGTGAGGGGTTATAAGGTCAGCCTTTCTCCACAAACAGCTACACTTACCTTTGTAAGCCAAAGCAGCTCCAACCAGAATCTTCTCCCATCAATGACTGAGTAGAAGCCCACAGGTTAAAAAACCTTGAAAGTATAAAAACACAGTAATTTTTCACAAAATATCTGACAACAAAATTTAAAAGCCAATATTTGAAATTAACTCAATATTTGAAAAACAAAACACCTCTTTTGCAAAGGGCCTAAACTTTTCTCTTACAGCATCGTTAACACAAGAATAAGAATGTGTATGAGCTGGCACAGTATTTCATCATGAATACTTGTTAGGACTTAAAACCTGTCCCTTAAAAGCTGAAGTAACTGCTTAATTGTTTTTTTTTTTAAAAATAGCCTTCACTGATATTACAGCTGAACAAATTAAACATCACTTTATTAATTTTATTCTAACCTATTTTTTTCTGGTTTTATTTTCAAGTCATTTTGAAGCTCTATCCCATTTTGCCACTTGTTCGGATACACTCTGATTCTGCCTTGCATGCTGATCAGTCAAGATAAACTCAGGATCAGAACTCTGAAACAGCGGACTTCAAATATGGCCAGACATATGCCGTGCATTTCATCTCACAAAAGCCTGGCACATTCTGCGCCCCTCACCATGGAGACCATCCCATTTAGTGCAGTCTGTACCATCCTGATTACAGACATGGAGACCCCGATGGTGATAAATACGCTTTTCCCTCTCTTTACATTCAATGTGCATCAAGTAGTTAAATAAAATATACTTTGGGATTAGGTCCAAAAGGAATAAGGAGCAAAGAAGAGAGAGGCAGGAAGAAAGAGAGAGAAAGAGAGGAAGTAAGATTTGTAGAGATAAAAAAAATAAACTAGGTGAAGCCAAGAAAGTTTGGTGATGGCTCTCATTTTTGGCAGGTGGATTTATGGTGTTAATGGCAAAGAGCAGAAAGCCAGGAGGAAGTCCTCACTGACCTCAAAGATACATGCATCAATTACTGACTTTGGCAAATATGTCTCCTATAAGCAGTGGCCCTACCTGTCACCACCAAGGGGTCTACTGTGACTGAGCCTCTAAGTTAGGAATGTCCTTCCTCCCGTCCCCCAGCCGTGTGTCTCACTTGGCCGCTCTGGGGCACAATCGCCTTGCTCAGAACAGCCAGGGTAGTGGTAGTTTTCTCTGCACATTGCACCTTGGCCCTTTGCTCTCATAAGATAATCCTGCAGGTGCTGTTCTTTGCTTAGACTATCAGCATATTTAAAGGAGTTGCATTTTCCTAAACTACCAAGCATGCAAGGGGCTGTGAAGTTATGACAGTTGCCAAGCAGTTTTTCTGGGGGTAAAATAATAGGAAGGAGGGAAGTCAGGTCTCCTTCTTGATGCAGCCCAGGACCCAGCATGGCTGCCATCCCAAGAGGGAAAGAACAATCACTGATCGAACTGTGTCTGCTCTGCATGCCAGCTGGACATTGCATCCTTTCTCTCCATCCTGAGCGTGTGAGACAGGAACATGCTGACACACGTGGACAAATGCTCGTTCCAAGTTCTACATTATAAACAATAGCTCCTCAGCGATTCAGAACTAACCACCGCAACAACAGAGGGTCCTCCAAGATGCAATCATGCAATCAAAGCAAGCAAGTAAGCAAAACCTTCTGGGCAGCCAGAATGCAAGACACGATAGTCCTCTCCCAGAGCTGGACAGTGTCTCTCAGGAAAGATTGCCAGAGCTTTGCCCAGAATCCAGCTCATTCTAATTAAGACCTAGTTCTCAGCAGCTTGGCTATGTGGTACTACAGCCCACAGAGATCAGAAACAGAGAAACGAAAGCATGCGTGCTGCCCAGGCAAATGTCCTGACAGTGGTACAGAGACAGCTGGCTTTCAAGGAAAAGGCAGAGCTAACAGCAGCACACAAGCAAACCAAAACCAGTAACAACATAAGACAAAAATGCAGGAGAAAATTATCTGCTTCAGTGACTTCTGTAATATACTGCATAGCACAGTAAAATAAGTCATATTTTAACGACAATTCTCAATCATCAGGAAACATACAAAGGTTCAATACTTGGTGAAAGCTGAGGAGTTTTAACATTGTTTTTAAAAAAGTTATGGCACTTCAATAGGTAAAGTTCCATTTTCTGGAACTCCCAAGTAATTTTACTGAAATGATTATACACCAGTATTTATCTTTAAGGTACATAGTTATTAGCCACCTAATAACCAGTCAGGGCAAAGCCAAGCCAGAAAAAGGGAAAACTGGATGAAAATGTCAAATTCAGATTACCACGTAGCAAAGCCGTAGATGTGAGAGAGGTGGGTGGAGGCTTAAAAGAGGCGGATGTACTGAGAAGCTTGTCCTGAAGACAAGTCTCACTCTTCCAGAGCATGGTGGTGGTTACTCATGTGCCCTACATGGCCACGACCACGCAGGTGGAGCAAAGAGGGAGGGTCATTCCTCCTACACAAAGAGCTGAGAATAGCAGCATGGAATTCTAGCTGATCTCCAGGTTAGGAAGGCAGATTTCCAGGATCCACTCTTGGATATGCTAGTTTGGAACGTCTATCTGGATCCCTGGAGTCTGCATCTTTTAAACCTTGGCCAAGCTTGGTCCCACTGACCTGGGATGCTGTGGTCTGGGGAGAGGCTCTGAGTGCTTGAACCTCTCAGTTCTGCGCCTCCCACCAGAGGGATCGCTGACCCAAAAGGCACGCGCTGCTGCCTCAGGGACGCACTTTGTTCAGCCTGCCTCCCATGTGAACACACAGCCCACTGTCTCCCAGGAGAGCCCAGTGAGACTCCGAGCTAGCACCCTCAGATTAAGACAGAATAAGGAACATAAAATTAGCCACAACTTGTCTTTTTCATTATTATTATAAGGTAATATAATAATTTTTATAATTATTATAAAAATATAATATTTTTATAAAATATTATAATTTTTATTTTTCACCACCAATGAAAAATATCTGAAAAAAAATTAAAAGGAGATTGAATATTTTACTGCATCAAAAGCAGTTATAAGAAAAATACAGCTTTGGGGTTTTTTTTTAAGTTTCTTCAGGAAACTGACACTGATGATCAGAATGTTCCAATTCGAACCACTTTCTAGCCTTCCAGCAATCTGCTTAATAAGAATAAAAGCTCACACTTACGTACTGCTTAGCCTGTTTATCCCTCAATCATTTATTCAGGTGTTTGTATTCTTATTTGGCTTCATTCTTTAATGAATCTCTTTTATTTTATTTTATCAATTTAATTTCTCCACAGAAATATTACAATCTCCCCAACTGCACAGATTTTTCAAATACAATCACACATAGACCAAGTCTTTAAAATAAAATGAAGCAGTAGTAATGAATTTGAATATCCATACAAAACCTTCCAGAATAGGTAGAACCAAAGCCTGGCTATGCTTCTTTGGCATTTCAGCCATACTCATTAGCTTTATAGTCTTTTTCCATTACATAGAAAGCAAACATTGATATCTCTGAGCACACAGAAAATTTCTTCTGCAAAACTAAGTAAACTCTACTGTCAATGAGGGCGGCTTGTTTAACCTCTTCCCTTCTATTGCTAAACAGGTATACTACGTAGTGTGAGACTGAAGGGAAGGAAAAGATTAAAGTTTACAGTATTCTGTACCTTTCTGCAAGATCCTCATGATGAGTGCTAGAAAAGGCAAGAATAAAGTGCTTGCCTGATTTGTCCAGCGATGCTATGAAAGTTTCTGCACAATCGTTAGATTCCAGCTCCTTGGAGGCTGGGATGGGGGCTTTCCATCTCCGATGTGTTTAAAACTGTAACAGCAGGATTGGTAAGTTTGGGATTCTAACCAGTTTCTAGAAGTTTCCAGCTCTCTTCATTAAATAACACTCTTTACATCATTACTGCATAGAAATACCCTGAAATTAAGTGAACTAAAATTCTCTAGACCTTAGTATGGCTTCTAAACACACTACTATATGAATATACGTTCGATGAGTAGGCTAGGTTGGGCTCGGGGGAACAATGAAAAATATTTCTCTGGAGTCAACTGAAATAAATCTTGAGTGGATTATCTGAACAAAAATGAAAATCAGCTATTATCCTTTCCCTTGATTAGTAGATATATTTACATTTATTCTAAATAATCTACAAAGTTCCTTCTTCTACATATTGCCATCCCCACTTCCTAAAACATATCCTCTGAGGCTATATTTACTACATTCATAGAGGCCTTACCCACACAGTCACTCAGTACATATTTAATCAAGGAATGAATACACATCATTTAAAAAACTCAACTGCACATCTCAAGTATCAAAACAGAAAGATTTTTACAATTTAAGAAAACCACCTTGTGTCATTGTAGGAGAGAGTGCAGGTTTTGCAGTGATTAGAACTGGGTTAGAAGTCTCGTTAGAGGCTAACTAATGTACAAGCCTCAAACATTCAGCTTTCCCATCCATCAAATGAGTTAATACTATTTGCAGAATTTCTAGAAAGATTAGAAATAATATCTGGAAATCTCTAAGCACTGTGTCTGCATATATCATTTTAATGATGATGACAATGAGTTTTCTTTAAAAAATAATACTAAGAGCACATTATTTCCATCATTTTGCATGTCCCAACTTTTTCTATGCCAGGTAATCCTACTAATATTTTATTTTGTTTGATATAATTTCCCAGAACAGTAGAGTAGCATATTCAGAAGAAATAAGAAAACACACTCCAAAGTAAATATAAATAATTTTTAAATCTTAGAATACTACTGAATTCCAGTGTTTGGAACTGTACTGAGAGTTTTTCTTTATCCATCAGGATTTTTGGATTGCGAGAAGAGAAAGTTGAGTCAAAATGAATTTATCAGAAGGATACAGGGTAGTTCACAGAATTGGAGGAAATGCTTTATAATCTGGCCTTGGAGGAACTGACAGAACGAGGTCACCCTGGAGATCAGGGTAGAGGAACTAGGAGTGTGCTTTAGGGCAGCCAGGCGGAATGTTCCAACTCTAACCACTTTCTAATCTTCTGTCACTCTGCTTAATAATAAAGTTCACACTTGTATACTGCTTACCCTGTGCCAATAATGCTTCTAAGTACTATGCATGCATTAAGTCAATCCTCA